AAAAACGGAAATTGGCGTGATGTTGGTCCATTATAACCATGTTCAAGGGTTTTTGATCTTTTTTGACCAAGGACAAATCTCAACGATTATCTGTTGCTTTAAAGTAATATCCGATATAACTAAGAAAAGATGTTGACCTTTGTGCACTTGAAAAGACGTTTGGAGCTAATAGCAAAGAAAAAACTTTCGGTAGCGATTGCAATTTCAAAAAAAAGTTGTTTTTAAGTTTTTTAAAGAAAATAATTTAGAATAAAAAAAAAGTCACTGTACAGAATATCTTGGCTCTGAAGTGATATCATTGTACAATTAGATATCACTGAGCGGTAACTTAACTGAAACCACCAAACTTTATAAATTTTAGTTTTTTTTGTGCAGTTTTAATTTTTGTAATGTCGTGGAGAGGCGTTTTAAAGTACAAAAAGAATCCATGCCCTATTCCTGATTTACTTCTTACCTCATAAATTCTGGCTTATTTTTGAAACCGCAATAAAAAAAAGAATTTTTCAAAATTTTCACAAATTTACGAAAACAGCTTTTATAAAAGACCTTTTTTCCACTAAAACTTGAAGACAATTAGTTAACCGATAAGAACTTCATCATTCTTCTCTCATATACGTTCTGCATTTGAAGGACTATACAAGTTTTGATTTGCCTAGCTACGGAAGATCTACTGTCCAATAAATAAACAAATTTTAAACTCCACTTTTTAGGTACCAGTTGCTTTTCATAGAAAATTATGCCAAGGCTGAAAGTGAGCCATTTTTTCTGAAATTTTACATAAAATACTGCTGCAAAAATGCAGCTTTTGATTCCGAACAGCATAAAAGAAGGTTTTTGTTGCTGTCCTAAGATGCTCAAAAAATATGATTAGAAATAAAATTCAATATACAGTAAGTGTATGGAAGATAGTTAAAGTTTAAAGTAGAGACCATAAAAAAAGCTAATTTATTACCGAAATTTTGTTCTTCTGAGGTTTTGTTGTACCTGACAAAGTTTTGGTGGGAATGTTGCACAAGCAACAAAACGAAGATGTTTATAGTTGTTATACAATGAGATTGCGTACGGTAAATATAACAATGAAAAAAACATTAACCTTATTTGCGCATTTTTCAATAAATGACCGAGCGATACAGGGGGCGGATTAATCGGATTTAATGACTTAGCCATAGCCTTATTTTCTAACTGACGAATGCGTGTTCGGTTTCACCATTTTGAAGTAGTTGTCTTGACAACTGGAAGGTTCACTATTTTGAATCATGTTGCGATTTCGGGCTTGGTAAATGATGGATAATTTCACTGGTGCAGCTGTTCATTTGGAATTTCGCAAGTCAACGGAGTATGAGAAGAAAGAGACAAGTGTGCAAACGGAACCGCTAAAGAACGTTGACGTTGGAACAGATGTTATTCCAAGAGTGGAACAATCGGTACAGGTCAACACTTTGAATGAGAATGCCTCAGTGGACAAAAAACTACGGCTAGATGTCAAGATTGTTGACTGCATCATACAGTTATTGCAACTGAATGTCAAAGAAGATCAAACATTGAAAAAGTTGAATTCATTGCACACCACCAGTCGCATTGCGATATTCCATAAAAAGCAAGTAGACTTGATCAAGGTCAATATTTGTTGTTTCAAATAATATTTACTTGATTTCCGAGGATGCTAGTAAGTTTTTTGATTTACACTAAAAAAATTATACTATCGCTTTTTTATAAAAGTATCAAAAATTTTTTTCAAATTT